CTTTGCTTAGTTGGGGTCTCTTTCCTCTCTTAAATAAATGCAACAGTTTCCCTTTTGAGCTCTTTGAAAAATGAATTTGGTATGTGAATTGGGATTGTGTTGAATATGTAGATTGCTTTTGGTAGGATTGTCGTAAATTGAGAATGTTTTTCTGTTTCATTGTTTTCTTAGTAATAAAATGATGATTATGAGGAGGAACAACAAAATGCCCTGACATTTTACTGTAGTGCCTATACACCTCATAGGTGGTAGGAAGGTTCATCATTGTTAATATATATAATCGTGCCACTCTTTAAAAAGCCTTTATTTTACAGACTTTTTCCAGTATATAGATTTTGCTAAAAAAGAGGGCATATTTTATGATTCATTTTTTTCTTCTTAGAATATTGGTGAACATTTTATCAGGATTGCTGTGAGTTAAACTCATTTGAGGGCTCCTAACCACCCCTCTACCACCATGGCAGTGTTTCAGTATTTATTGTGATTTTTATAATGAGATAACCTGATTATTCTTCTGACATTTGGCCTTTCCTTTTCTTGGACCTAAATCTCTGGCATTCATCAGTTCTTTCTTTGCAATAAAGTCTTACCTTGGACTTGCTAAAAGATCCTTGCTGACAAAGCGTGTAATGTGACAGACTGCTATGTGAAAGATCGGTGGTTCAAATCCACCACTACTCCAGGGGTGAAAGATGGGCATTCTCCTTCTGTGAAGAGTTCTGCCTGTGGAACTCCATGGAAGGTCTTCCCGAGGGGGAACTGACTTGATAGCAGTGAGTTTCGTGTTTCTTGGTTTGGAACCTTCTGTGATCTTCTTTGGTTTGGTGGCTAATAAATCACTGATTCAGTAAATTGTCTGATACTGTTGAATGATAGCATTTGTGAAGATACAAACATAGGCCTTTGGAATTCTGGCTTTAGCTGGGTAGTACTGGACAGTTATTCCAGTCTTAAGAAATAAGGCCTAGGGTTTTGAGGCTTCAATAAAAAAACAACACCACATGGAGTTTGAATATACTTGGGTTTCAGTCTGTATTTCATAATTTCTAGCATAGTGATTTTGAAGCACTAAATAATCTTCCTCAGTTTTCATTTTTTAAATGCACTGCTTTGTAGTTTATAAAAATTAGGAAAAATAACGTCTTGAAAAATCTTGGCATAGGGCCTGGCAGATGTGGATACTATCCGTGATAGCTTTATTAATTTTGTGGTTGGTTCATTATATCAATTTATAAAACATGCTGAGGAATTCTGCTTTTTAGAACAGACACTGGGATAAAATAGTGATGTAGGATCTGTGACCAGGAATGCGGCAAAAAGCTGTGGTATTACAAATGCTTTTAGTTAAGCACTAATTTGACCATAAGTGGCCTTTTATTCATCTCCCATCATCTTTCTCTCTAATCATAGTTTACCTGGGAGAAAAAAAAAGAAAAAAGAGATGATTAAGGGGAAAGACGTTTTCCCTTCATTCCCTCCTCCTTCCTCCATCCATCTCCTATGCATTGAGTTACTACTTACCAAATATTGTGCTAGATACTAGGATTTCAAAGACAAAAAGAAATTGGGCTCCAGGGGCTAATGGTCAAGTTGAGAGCTTTGTGTGTAAATACATGCAAGGTTATTACATGCAGTGCGCAGGGACAACCACTATGCAATAAAAACCAAAATGTTAAAGGGGGAAATACTGGATCACATTGGAAGATGTGGAAAAGTGAAATGAACATGTGGAGTTGATGAGTGGCTGAGAGGATGTAAGGCGCCCAGGGTGCTGTTTGGGTATCAGTCAGGGTTTAACGGTATTGAGAATTAAACAGAAGACCATGCCTCGTCTCTTCAGGCAACAGTGAGAGTTCATTCATTAGTTTTTTACATTCATTGCTTTCGTATTCTATTACTCATCTTGCATTAAACATTTATTGTGTGCTTGCTGTCTTCTGGAACTGGGAGTGTAATGTTGAATTGTGTTTGCAAGAATCAGAATTCACACTCGGGCTCACTGTGGAGCTGGAATGAGGTGCCCGGAACCATGTGAAGGTGGAAAAAAATGAATTCCTGGGGAAGGAGACATTTGAGCAGAATCCTTTTTTTTTTTTTAAATAATTTTAATGAACATTTACAGAGAATTTGAATTTCCATTCATTGAGCAGAATCTTAAGGAAAGAAAACAATTAGTTCTAGAAGCAGAAGGAGGCTGTCCCCAAAGAGAAAGATGGAGAAGAGTCTGCAGTTAAGGTTGTTGAAGGCTTTTGATGTAAATGGATGAGAGAGCTCGGTGGTAGGATGTGAGGCTGGCAAGGGAGTAGGACCAGATAGTCAAATCTAAATGATTTGACGCCGGTAGACAACCATCTGCAGAGATGTGGCCAGCTTAGCTTACAAAAGGAAATAATCCTAAGTTTTTTTTATAAACTTAGAAAGTTATTAGGTATTTTGACAGAAGGGGCATCTTTTAGCTGTTTTCCTTTGGTGCAGTTTGTCTGGCATCAGGTGAACCGGGGTGCTACAAAGTTGATGATGCATGTACCCAGAAGACAGGCCTGATGATTGGCTTCTGAAAGGTCACAGCCGCTGTAAACTATGGAGCAGCCCTGCTCTGAGACATGAGTCCTTTTGAGCCAGAACGTTTTTGAAGTCATCTGACAAGAAATCAGGAATTGGAGGTTGATGCAGCCACTGACCCTTGACTGTGAGTGTCCTGTGAAGTAGCGGAGGAACTGCAGGATGCCAGTGTCCTTGTACCCAAGGATGCCTGTGACAGACGTGTCATTGTGGGCACCAGCATCCATGTGCTTTCTGAACCACAGGAGCTTGGGAGCTTGATTAATTGAAGTTAGCTCCGGGGCACTAAATGCCAAAGGAAGGGTGAGGACCATATGAGTAGGAGTTTCTCTGAAAAAAAGTAAAATAAACACACACACACACACACACTCTCTCTCTCTCTCTCTCTCTCACACACACACACTCTCTCTCTCACTCTGTGCCAGATTGGACTAATCATCTTGATTTGCCATTTTAGTTTTATTTTTATCATCATCTAATCAGTCTTAAAACAGTAAACTCTGTTGGAGTAGAAATATCATTGTTCTGTAGAAAATGACTGTGTGTGTGTGTGTGTGTGTGTGTGTGTGTGTGTTTCAGAAAGCGTCCAATTCTCAGTGTTTGGTTAAATAGCAACTGGCTTTATTTAATCAACAGGATGTTTTAACTTGATTGGACTTGAGAGGTTTTCTATAAGCTGCCAAAAAGTGAGTAGTGCTTCTAATAATACTTAAAAATTATGTGTTCTCATTTATCAGAAGTTAAAAGGGAAAACAAATTATTTTGGCTAAATTATACTCATGAGGATAATCCTTGAAAACAGTTTAAAAGTTAGAAGCAAGAAAGACTTTAAGAGGAAGTATAAAGCAAAGTAAGGAAGGAAGACTTAAAGACGAAGCATTAAAAATTGATCTTATGGTTGCTTCACTCACACATTGCTGTCCAACTCATGTTGGTTCCAAGGCATAGCTGACGCCCTCCATTTGTTAGCCTGTAAATAATCAGGAAATGTCCCATCATTTCCCACAGAACCACTAGTGGTTTTGAACCATCAGAAAGGCTCGGTTTTTGGCAAAGCACCCTGTGGACTATGCCAGCAGAGCGATGAAACCTGTAAAAAAGGATTAATTTAAGTAAAAGTTAACAAGGTGTTGCAGTATCCAGAAAAGATGGTGAGATCGTTCCCATATTTAAATTGCTTGTTTCTCCCTAGCCAGATTGTGCATCTCCAAGTTATGAAGTCATTGTAGGGAAGCCTTTCAACACTAATTCTAAACATGAACCACCAGCTCTGTTTTGCCTTTCTACATGACCACTCCTAAACATGGTCATTGCAGCATGCTGTTCAGTGGAACCATGTTCTGACGCTGCTGCTTGTTTTAAGAGGCATCTTACGTGGTGTGCCCCAGACAGCAGTCCCTTGGCAGCGGTAGGGCCTGGGGGAAATGCACAGAATCATGCTGGCTATTTTTGATTGGCAGCAGGTGCAGTTGTAATCCGAGAGGCAGAGCCTGGGACGGTTAATGATGGGTCTTAACAGACAGACAAGGAAAACCCAGAGCAGACACCATGGAGAGGGACTAGTTTTGAGTAAGTGGCCTTCAGTGACAGAGGCAGAAACGCTGGGACACTCAGAGAATTTGTCTGCTTGGTTTCAAACCCATCAGATCTTTTCTTCTTGGGCAGAGAGCTCACATGGTGCAGTAACATCATTGTGGGGGTGATGTTGTGTGTCATGGAGTTAATTCTTACTCATGTCCAACCAGCAGGTGACTGTAGAGCCACCCCGTAAGGCTTCCTAGGCTGTAATCTTTAGGGATTAAAAATTTCCAGGTCTTTTATCCTGAGGAGTGATTGGTGAGTTTGAACTGCTGACCTCTCTGTTAGTAAAGGACCGTTGTGCCAATTATGCCTCCCGTAGGAAGTGCAACCCATCCCCACTCCCAGTTGGTCTGACTCCTCGAAACTCTGTTATTAGTGCTGTTAAGTTGACGTTCAGAACTGTTAACTAATAGAACCCGGCAGACAACAGATCTGAACATTGGCCTATCCTGCTGATCCTCTTGATCATCATCTTGATCTCTGTCATGTTCAAGGCTACTGTGATGGTCACCCATCAGTCCATCTCCTTACGTGTCTCCTTCTCTTTCGCCGAGCCTCTTGATACTTCCTGAAAGTATGCCCAAAGTTAGTGAGACCACTCTTGCCTTGAAGGAGCACTCGGCTTTAGTTCCTTCAAGACAGATTTGATTGTTCTTTTGCGAAGACTGTTGAGCACGCCATGGACTGCCAGAGGAATTTGATAGGACAGAGCAGAGTGGTGCATCTTTCTCTCAAGGAGCCCCTGGAAGTTTAGAACCGCTGACCTGTTCAGTTAAGCTGAGCACCTCACTAAAATGCTATCAGGGCTCCTCTGAAGTAACTTTGGCTCTTTGATCATATGGTTCCTCTCGTTGTAGCAGTGAAGGTGATGTGTTTCAGGACAGAAGGAAATGAGGTGCAGTTCCTGGGAGGTAGGTGTGCTGGCACTGCAGTGCCCACAGAACCCAGAGGAGAGAGCCGTGGGCCTGCCGGGTGATGAGAGCAGTGATGATACCACTGCTGTCCTTTACCTTCACGGCTGATTAGGGGTGCGTACCCGCAAGCTTGTAGTTCACGTTAGGGAACGAGGACACAGCCTCCTTCCCTTTTTACAGATAAGCTGTGGTTGAGTAGAGGAAAAGAAGCCACAGTTCAGGTCTGTTGACTAATGTCCTCACACGTGTGAAAATAAACAACTGCATGCAGGTTTTGAAGTTGAAGACTTAAATTCAGTGTTAAATCCCCAAGGAAGCCATGAAAAAGCAAGTTGCAAAATTGATTCTAACTCGTGTGATTCCACATGTGTCAAAGTTGAACTCTGCTCCAGAGGATTTTCAGTGGCTGATTTCTTCAGAGTAGACAGCCAGACCTTTCTTCTCAGATGTTTCTGAGTGGACTTGAACCACCAGCTTTCCAGTTAGTCAGGAGGGACTAAAACCAAACCCACTGCCATTGGGTCATTTGTTATCATAGGACAGAACAGACCTGACCTTTAAGGTCTCAAGACTAAATCTTGACAGAAGCAGACTGCGTCCTCCTCCTTTTAAGGAGGTGCTAGTGGGTTCAGACTGCCGATCTTGTGGTTGATCCTCCACCACTCAGTTACACTGTGCCACCAGGACCATTTCAATTACTTTTAGAAGATCTTATGTGTATAATTCTGCTACTTGATTGGGCATTAAATTTCTAAAATGGAAAAATAACACTTAGCCAAGGAAGCACTTACTCGAAATAGTATGTGCTCTGTTGATCTCTGGTGGCCTATTGGCAAGAAGCTGCGCTGCAATACTAAAGGCACAAGGTTCAAATCCACCAGCTGCTCTGCAAGAGAAGGATGACCAGTCTCCTGTGTGATTTACTATTTCTGAAAACCTGCTGGAGGGTCAGCTATGGGTCAGTTCCTCCTCCACAGTACAAAACAGCATGTTGATCTGACCTTTCTTTGTGACGTTCTTGCAGCTTTGGAAGTTGTGAACACTTGGACTGATGCTCCTGTTTTTAATGATTAGAGTTCATCAGTAAAACTCTAAAAACCCATTGCTATCAAGTCAGATTCCAACTCTCAGTCACCACAGGGTTTCTAACCCTGCAAGTCTTTACAAAAGTAGACTGCTACCTCTTTCTGCAGTGGAAAATGTTTAGGTGTTTCTTCTCTAGCAGGGTTCCAGCTTTCACAAGTTTTATTGTATTTTTTTTTTTATTATCAGTGAGTAAATATCTTATGTGTTTACTAGCCCTTTATATTACCCGCCCCACTTCCATATTTGTACTATTGTCCATTTTCTTGATTAGGGGTTTGTGGTGGTGGTCTTGGTTTGCAGTCAGGACATTCAGAAAACTGTTGAGTGTGTATTTTAAATTGATCAGCCTTGTTTGTGGTGATGGTGGTGCTTGGTTAGAAATGCCCCATTTTTGTATAATCACATAATCCCCACCTACTGCTAGAACCTCAGGGGTCAGGTAGGGGAGAGAGTGACAAAAGTGTCTATGACATTGCTTGTTGGAGAAGTGGTTTAGGCATGTCATGAGGTTAGCGACTTCGGTTAATTTAATTTGGACACCAGTGCCCAGTGCTGTTATTTCTCTACTGTGGTACTGTTTAGTTTGTGTGTTGAATTCAGGAGCCTGTTTCACAGATTGGGTTTCAGCCGAGTGTGCGGCTGTCCTCTTATCTCCTCCCTGACCTTCTGAATCCCTGCTCATTGCTCCCAGTTGACTGCTGAGCTCCAGTGCCCAACACCTGTTACTTCCTGAGTGTGTCTCAAAGCCCTGCACTTTTATTCCAGCTGTGTAGGACTTTGAAACTTGCAGATAAAGGGCTATTTTCCACTTGTTTATCTCAGAAACCGAGCTGCACTCTGAGGCCTCTTATGGCTAACTTGCCCTTAGCTTGCTCTTAATAGCAAACTTAAATGCTGAGTCTTAAAAAAAATAAACAAAAAAACAAAATAAAAAAACCACCGTAAAACACCTCTCACTTCAGAAAGTATTTTTCCCCCTTCACTCTAGCATTTGAAATTAAATTGTATGTTAATAAAAGGAGAATGTAGTATAATGAAATGAAAGTTTGTTCATGGTGAATATACTTCGTGCTGTTCTAGCCAGCTCCTTATACCATCTTGGAAAGGTTCTCAAACTCCTTCTTCACGAATGTGAGAAATGGTGACACAGATCACAGGTTGCAGGTTGGTTTTGCCATGTTGCAGGTCCTAAGATCCTTTCTGAGCCCTAGTTTTCTTACCTTCATCAAGTGAGGATAGCCTAATACTGTTTGTGAAACCTTTTTGTGTATGAACTGAACTGTCTGAGAACCAGATAGCTGTGTGAGTTTTGAGAACTCTCAGTGTTTTGAGGTTGAAGAGCAGATTCTTTGCATTTGTTCACTAGAGGGGCTTTGGTTTTGCGTTTTGGATGAGGCAATGTGGCTGTCTCCCAACTGGGGATGAACGTGCACTCTTGTCTTGTTGGAAGCACCCAGGCAGACCTTGACTTCCCCCAGGAGTTTTCAGGGTATGCTAAACATCCCAAATCTGTATTCTGGAGTTTCGGCAGTGTGGATTTTCCCCTCAGAGAACTTGAAGTGGTAACCAGCAGGCTGTGGGGCACAACCCCTCTGTGATGGAGCCCTTTCTCAATTTTGAATGGGCTGCTTCCCTTTCTAACCTGGTGAGACTGGGCTGGGGGGCTGATGCCCTGGGGGAGGTTTCGTTCATGAGTGTGTTTTCGATAATATGGGTATTTTTGTGTGATTATGAATTAGCCTGAACATCTTCTAACAACCCAATTCCACTTTGATTTTAACCATTTGTTTGACAGAGCCTGCAGTTCTGCACTGCATGGTTAATTGTGTGTGCCTGTTTTTTTAATTATGCCACACATAGTTTGCAACTTTGATTCACTTGAGATCTTTGTGCTTTCTGCTCTTGACCTGTTTCCAAGGACATAGGAAGTGTGAGTTCAAGGTTGTTGGAGAGCCACTGACATGCAATACATGACTTTCATTTGTTTCTTTTCCTCCCATTTAGATTACTGCCTTTTAAATTAAGTTATTGCTTTTTTACTTTTATCAAACTATTATTAGGAATTTAATCAAAACAATTTTTATAGACAAGTGATATTTAGCATGGTGCTATGTATATTGACTCATCTTTTTTAACTAAATGGAGTAAAAAAATTTGTAAGCTTTAGAAATAATTTAAATATTTTTACTTTGGGATAAATCTTAGTCATAACTTATATTTTAATGTTTCTTGAGCTACATGGTGTGAAGATGACTTGGAAAATGTTTTTAATACTTTAATTTGAAATGTGCTACTTTTGATAAATTTGAAAATACTGTTTAGAATTCATAAAAAATATAATAGAGGAAGACCTTCAAGGTGGATTGATTCAGTCACTGGGATAACACGGGTAGGTGTGTCGGAGACAGTAAGATTGGCAAGGGATAGCTGGGTTCGGGCTGTTGTACATAGGGTGGCTATGAGTCGCAGGCGACTTGATGGCACATAGCAACAACAACAACAACAACAACATATTTTAATATAATTGTATTTAACATGATGGATTATTTTCTGACCACAAAATAAATGTCTAGATTTAAAACAACAACAACAACAAAACCGACCTCCTTTAATATGGTATTTTTTTCCTCTTTGAATTTTTGAGAAAAATTCATATCATAAAATTATATCTGTGTTCCACAAAAGTTAGTAGTATATTGGAAGAAGAATGCCTGTCCAGTTAAAAATTACATTACTGCCTTAAATTATTAGTGCGGTTTATAATGTTGAGTTTTCTTAGCAGTAGGAAATACCTCCTTTGAGCATTTTTTCAGGAGAGAAAATGCTCTCTTAAAAGCAGGTCGTGTTGTAGCAAGCTGCCTGTGCGCGCCCTGGGTGCTGAGCAGCCGGCCAGGACGCAGTGATGACTGATTTTTGAGTCTCAGTTGGGTTTTTGTTGAGGTATGTGTGAGGATTAGGCACACCCTCTCCTTTCACAGGCCTTTCCTTGTTGCAACAGATTCTGTAACTTACTTGTTTGCTGATGCAGCGTTTTCAGAAGTAGGCAGTTCAGTGTGGCCCCGGGCAAAAAGCTTCATCTCTTTACCTCCCCCTCCACCCCCCAGATTTAGTGGAACACTGTCAGGCAGGAAGGCTTCACCACCAAGCAGTTTCCCAGGTTTATTTTGAAGGGATGGTAGGGGAGCCGAAAGGGTACATTTTTCAGAGAGGGCAGAAAATGCTCATGGAGATACAAGCATGTAAGGAGTTAGTTGATTTCAAGGGATGAGATAGGGCAGAGGAGTAATTTAGTTACACTGAACTGAGACTTTATCCATTTAAATACAGTGGTTTTCAGTTCATTTCAATTGATGTGTTGACCTAGTCCATTGACCCAAATGGGAATGGCAGAGGGTTCAGGCAGTGTCAGCAAATTTGTGTCCTGTTAAATCCAGTAGTCTCCTACAGATAGAATGCAGTGCCTTTCTTTTCAAGGAAGGTGGCTTCATTCTCACTAACACAAAATGATTTTATGGCCTTGCATTTTTTTAGTTTAGTGGTTGAATAGATCCATTTGCCTTTGTTTTTAAAGAACGCAAGAAATTTGAAGTCAGGAAACTTTTATTTGTACTTGAGTTTTAAGAACCTGCTTCTTTAATTTGTTTTACCATATACTTAGTTTGTAAGTATCGGGATAAATATGAATATTGAGCAAGTTGAGTGAGACACTAAAAAGAGAGATATTGTGTGTGTGTGTGTGTGTGTGTGTGTGTAAAGCAAGTATAAAGCAAACCTAGTGGAAAGCTCTGGTGGCAAAAAGCTGCACTACAATCCCAGAGGTATGTGGTTCGAATCCACTAGATGCTCTGCTGGATAAGGTGGGGCAATCTTCTCCCCTACCAGTCAGATCCGATTTGATGGTACCCACACAA